CACCTGGCGCATACTGGGCATCCAAAATCAGCGTGATTCGTCTGCTCAGTGACAGAAAGAATGAAAACTAAGCAGGCAACACCAGGAGTAATATGCTACTTCGGCTATTTGTGTGTTAAGTAGGAAAATATTAATCCCTGTTCTTTGAAGGGTTTTTAATGTATCAGTCAATCTAAAACCACACAGTCCTCATATAGATTTGGCCTATGATGATGCTATATCCTCCTGCTTGGAGGAAAATAACCTTTATTATTCTTAATCATGAAGTTCCTTTTGTTCTTCCTCTGACAAAGCCAAATTAATGCAAGAGTGGCAGAACAGCTTGGGTGCTGGCATCTACATGACACATAGTCCATAGCCAGCAGAAGACAGGTTGGAAGTGGTGGTACCTCTGCTTTCCACAACTATCATGAAGCTACACCTGAAGCAGGTCTTGGGAATCCCTAAGGGGAAAAAACCCAACACATCTCAATGCGAAGAAGGTCTCCGATTAAAATTACTCTCTAACCTTTCTGTTCTCTAAGTCTTAGAAAAGGATTTCCTTGCAGTTGTGAGGAAGAGTTAGAGCAGAAGCAGAAGAGAACTGGTAGTTGGCTGGATGGATGGCTGGGAGAGACAGAGAGAGAGGACTGCCCAGAGGTGGGAGCATCACAGACTTGATCCAGATGAAGAAATAAATGATGACTCTGAAACATAACACAGGGTTTATCATGACAGGAGTGAAAGGGTATAAAGACCTAAACTGTTTATTTGTATGAGAACATAATGGTCCTTGTCATTGAGCTGGTGTTGAAAGGAATGACTTCCATCTAGAGGACGCAGAAAAAACAGGAGATAAATTTCAGTACTAGTAACAGTTTAATGGAAAAAGAGTGAAAAAGAGGAGGAATATGGAAATTAGACAGGGATGACATTCTAAGAATTTAAATGTGGCATTTGGCAGCAGCAGTATTGTTCACTGAAAAACAAACAATGCTAATCAACATCAGATGTATTGTTATTTTAAAAGAGGCTTTATTTAATGACAATAAATATAAAGAAATCTTAATATTCAGAAACTGATAGCAAATATTCTTAGAAAAAAATACAAAAAATACATTCTTACATTCTGAATTTTATCAACATAGACAGAATTTAAAACAGTGGCGATGGCCTGCAATTCATGGTGTTTCATTAAGGCAATGAAATGGTCACTGGTCCAAATTCACCCTGACTTCAACAAACCTGTACAAGATAGGAGTCTCGCCTACATATAAAATGTAAAAAAAAAAGAGGAAAATTGATTCATAGTTTAAAACAAATGTTAATTTTCCCCTTCAAGCAATATTAGTAAAGTGACCTAACTTAAAAAAAAGTTACAAATGCTTGTAAGTTGGCAACTGACACCCCTCCCTCCCCCCATCCCCGATTTTGTTCTGAAGCCTTCACAGAGCTCCCTGTGTACAAGCAGAGCACATTTCAGCAGTTGGAGGTAGAGGCTACAGAAATTGCACAACTTAAGAGATCGAACTATTAAAATGCAATTAGGCACTCTGCTGGTTTTCCTCTTCTTTCTCTCATTCAGAACTGTGCTGTGAATAACACTGTGCATATGGCAAACTCAACTGAATTCCTGATATAATGTCTTCTGAAATGAAATGTTACAGCTGCATTAGTAAGTAGTGTGGCACTTCAGAAGCAAATCACTAGAGCAAAACGTTGATGCTGACAAGCTGATGCCCACACAAGTACTCGCTGCTCTCTTCAGCCTAGCTCTGGTTTTAGCTCTCTGGACTAAGTGCCTGTCAGAAACTATTAAGTGCATATCTAAAACCTGCCTTCTGGCTCAGTTTGAACCAAGAGGAATCCAGTCTACATGCCCTGAGACCAGTTGGTGATGGGAAGCACCACCCAGAAAGCAGGGAGAAGTGGAAGACCAGTTTCAAAAGTGCACTCTTGATCCGAACAAAAAAAGGAAATCTAGAAACACACCCAAAGCTGATTAGGATTTTGTTACGGGAGCAGCCCAAGTCATAGACACACATGCTTTGCTGATGTAGCCTGTTTTTTTTAATCATTATTTTAAAGGCACGAATATGAACTCTCGATGAAATGGAGGGCCAACTCCTCTTTTAGGAAAGGCTGCCAACTGATGTAAAAGGGACAAATGAGAGAGGGCACAGGAACCAAACAAGGAGCAGAAGACAGGCACTCCTGAAAACCAGCCGCAAGCTCTGCAGCTGCTCACAGTGTGACCTCAGGCAAGGCACTTAATTCCATTCTTTGTTATTCTCTTTACCTCTCAAAAAGTGCAATAAATGCTTCCTTAAGACCAAATACTACTTGAAATGGTCCATTTTGTGCTGCATTTTTTTTTCTTTATCACAGGATGGCTCCTCAACTGCCCCAGCCCTCCAACCTCACCTGAAAGGGTGTTTATAAGGCACAATGGCACTGTCATCACTGATAGGGGTATGGAAATGGCATTTCAGCTGAACACAACTGCAGACTTGGAAGAGCCAGTTCAAAGCTAAAATCAAAAGCTCCATGTCTGCAAGGAGCTGACTGACCTTTCTAACTAAACTCATTTTGCACAGGGAAGTCCCCAGAACGTCACTAAAATTGTTCTATGAAACAGTTTTTTTGGACAAAAAATTGTTTTCAGCAGGTTTGGTATATTATGCAGTGACAGGACAAGAGGCAATGGGCACAAACTGAAACACAGGAGGTTCCTTCTGAACCTCAAGAAACACTTTCTCACCGGCACAGGTTGCCCCGGGAAGTTGCGGCGTCTCTATCTGTGTAGATATTCAAAAGCTGTCTCGACATGGTCCTGGGCAACTGGTTCTAGGTGGCCCTGCTTGAGCAGGGAGGTTGGGCCAGGTGACCTGCAGAGGTCCCTTCCACCCCATCCATACCATGGTCCCGGGAGAAGGTCAAACCAATATGAAAGGGATATATTTTGATAAGAAATGCTGTCTTGTTCAGGAACTTCTGAGTATCTGTCCATCTGCCCAATTTATATTTGCTTCCTGATAAATTAAAGACTCGTCATGATTCTGACAAAACCAAAACAAGCGGCAAAGGGTAGAAATCCCTGTGCAAATAAGCACCGGTTCCATTGCTGCTCTGGTTGACTATCATTTATTGCTATGTCTATCTTTTCTTTCTGTCTTGTGTCTTTTTTATCTTCAGGTGGTGTCAACACGAAGTTTTCTGCACACTGTAATAAGTAAGCTTCAGTCCCTCAATGTCAGAAATGCAAGTGGTTCTCTGGAGCCTGTGAGTTTCTTTCATCTTTCCTTGATTTTTGAACCAAGCTTTCCTCTCACCTTCTTCCATGAAATCATGCAAAGTCTTGCTGAGTGAAAGCTTGTGTGTCATGACTGCTGAAAGGAGTCCCCTCGTGTGCTGCCTCTTCTGGTTTAAATGTTGTCATTTCAAAGGCCAGGCTTGAGGTACACTGCAGTCAGTATTTGGAAGTTTTGCTACAAAATTCAGACATTTGATTCCTTCTAATTATTAATGGAATAAAATACATCTTATAAGTGCTACTTAGTTTCTGCAAATGAAATTCTTAATATATAAAAAGCTATATGAATAGTCTGCCTAAAAAATCTGCATATCTGTTTTATTTAAGAAGAGTACAAACTTACAAATGCAACAGTAATCACTTGGTTTTCAGAGTATGGACATACTTTTGCTTTTTTAACAAGTTTTTGGTTTTCGGAATTTGATAGAAATTGGTCCACTAAAACTATTAAAAGAGAAAGCAAATTAATAATCTGGAATGTCTGCTGCAGACATGAAGTGGAGCTCTACATACATACTTTATCTGTAATTCCCTAACTCCCAGTTTGCAAATGGGGCCAAAATAGCCACACAGATCTGCAGCGTAATTTGAAGATGACTGATGGCTTTAGCACATGTATCCACACTGCTTAACATCTTTCCTAGTTATTTAAAGCTTCATAATATGGTTAAAGCATATTAAAAGGTTTATTCCAATCTCCAGTTTCAATAGATTCATGGCCTTGTCAAAATTCACTTTATCACACAATGTCATATCACCACAGGTTCAGCTGCACATTCTTCCTACATTAAAATCTATTGGGGAAGAGCATGGTGCCTCTGGTGTGGGAGAAATGCAAAAGACAAATATTGATTTGGTATATGGAAAGACTTATCACACTCCTGACTGTTACAGGTCGGAGATCTTCAAGGCTATGGTCATTCAGAGCAGAATGGGCAAGTGAACTAATGAACGTACGTTGGCTGGGCAAAGATAAAACGCCTGAGTTTTCTACTCACTCGGAGAGCTGTAAAATCAGTTTGTATGCATTGATTTCAAAGGCAATTCTCCTGTTTACACAGAGATTGATGAACAGGATGGGCTTACAGTCCTGCTGCTTCTTGTGATCCAAGTCCATGATTAATTGAAATATCTTGTTATCCGTTTAAGTCTCAGTATGCAAAGCTAATTCAGTGTAGCACACAACAGCGCTTAGTATGTCAATTCCAATGGCTTAACCACATGATTTTGAGATGTATTTTCTTTCTCTTTCCTTCATGTTTTGGCTTTTTCTTTTCATTTTATAGTTGAGGTTTGCATTAGCAAGTAATCAAAACTCCTTCAGAAGATGTGATGGCATTCTTACAACAAATCATCCTTGTTCTTAAGGTTTTGTTCAAGTCAAACAAGAAATTTAATAGCTGATGCCTAAATAAAGTGGAAAGCACACTGTGTATTTGAGAATTAATCTGCATCGTCTTAAGATGATAAATAATTTTTATCTTCACATGTTAAAAAAAGTACGTCCTACTAAAGCTATTTAAAAAATTGGTAACTCTTATATGAGTCGCAGTGGTTGCATTTGTCCAAGGGAAACAGGTAAATGAGCAGGTAACAGTTGCAAGAAACGTTTAGGAAAGGGAATTAATCCAAAGTGTTTGATTAGCTATTAGTAATACCTGGACAGTTATTATTAGCTAAATACTGTTATTCCATACAAAAAAAAACCTTATTCAGCTTTAGGTCGGAAAGTGCTGTCTCCTTTGATAATTTTGTCGGCTATTTTCCCCATGGTTTTTTTCACAACTTTGAGATCATTCTCATGCAGGAGTTTCTGTGTTAGGTACTTCTCTCGTTTGACCTTGCTCTTGGTCTTCTGTGATACATCCGGGATTACATATGAAATAATAAACTTCACAAAGTATATGACATGCTGGGGAAGGTGACAATGAAAAAACATTAGTCAGGCTGAACAGGACATTATTGTTATTATTATAAATGAAATACCACATTATCTCTTAAGACTCTGAGCTGGTTCTGCACCAGTATCTGTCTGAGTGGAACAGTATTTTAAAAAGCAGACATGACTAATGAATAGAATAATTGTCTGATAAACAAGAATTCCTGCTTTTCTAATCCTGATTTTAACAAGGACTTCTCTGTCTGCTCTGGGGGAACCCTGGTAGCCAGTGCATATCCCCTGCATGGAAATATCAGTTACAGTTTCTTTAAGGTTGTTTTAGGTTTGTTCAAATGACTCTGGGACAATGGACTGTGCTACAGAAACTCTGATCTAACCAGTTGCATGTTTCTGATGACTTCAGAAGTCCCTGGATCAGGCCCTAAGTACATTCGATAATGAAATAATACTTAATACTCCTCTCCCTTCATTTTGGACTGACTACCACCTTTCATAAGCCCAGACTGTGGCTGCAGAGGAAGGAGCAATTGCTCTTTGGTGCTCATCTAGAGACTCACCTCTTGCAGTGACTGTCTTTACACACTTCACTCTGCTAGCACACGTATGATATGTATGTATTCATGAGGCTGTGCGCAAACTTCCTCTAAGTATTTGTAAGAATATTTTCGGTGTAACTGTCCCTTCTGTTTCTGATACAAAAAATCATTTTGCAGTTCTTTGGAAAAGAACTCTGTATTAAAATACTGTGACTTCAGAGACTTCTTCTTCTAATGTTGCTATGCTTTATTTACATCTCCCAGGCTCTTGCCTGTGCTAGCACACATCGCCAGCTCTGAGAGCAGTGCCTGGACAGAATGTCTTTGCAGGATTTTCTCCCTGGAGAGAAGAGAAGTTTAAATAAGTAATGCTCAAAGCCCCGTACGCTTACCTCCATGACAATGATGAAGGCCAGCTTGGCTGCAATGACATGCCAGTAGTATATGTTATGCTCATATTGGTGCGGGTGACCTGGAGGGTAGCGGAGATCCCGGTATCTGAAAGCAAGGTAGGAAAGTCGGGAACTAGTCTCAGACATCCCTGCAGTAAGGCACTGTGGCCAGAGGATGGAGCAAGACATGTCCCTGCTTAATTTATCCAGGAACAGTTAGCTGTACATGACTACAATAATGAGTAAAATCTTATCTGCAGAATAAGCTATATTTAGCTGAAATGCCTTTTTTTTGCCACTGTATTAAGAATTACTTACGAAAATGCTTTTTATGAAGACTATCAATTATAAGAAAAGCAAAAGAAAATAAGAAATTTCTGTGAGACAAAAACTTATGGGTGAATACTTCTACTTGGTTTTGCATTTCAGAATATGCTGGCTTTTACTGTGTTTTAACATTTCTTATGGGATATTGTTAACTGAATTAGATTATTTAGGTATTAAAAAATCATGTTTATTTTTGTCATTGGAAAAGAATGGCTATTTGACACTTGCCTGCATGTTGTTTGGTTCCCCAGCCAAGGGGAAAATGGCTTGCTTGCATTCTTGAAGTCTGATATATTGAAGACAGAAAGTGTACTGTTTATATACCCTTTCATAGTGTGACTGCTGTGACTCCCATAAGGAGGGACCGAAAAGGACCAGTAATAAACCAGACGAGGAATCATGTCAGATGTAAAAGCAATGATCATAGCCTGCATTTCAGAAAAATAAGACAAAAAAGCAGAGCAGCGATTAAGGAATAAGCCTTAATGTGCACAACTTTGCTATATACATAGTATCCCAAAAGTTACAGTGTGAGCTAAAAATAGAAAATATGTGCTTTTGCAGTCAGTGGTTCCCTCTGTAAATTAGCACGTAGTCACTCATGGGCATAAAACAATCTCTTTCTGGAATTTGCACTCTGTATGGTTTTTAAATTACACTAGCTCTGCTGGCTGCCTTAAAAATGTTGTACTATAACACACTTTCCTTGTGAGTGCGCAGGGGAGGTCAGCAGCCAAACTCACAACGTACTCTAAGGTGACCTTCAGCAAACGTGCTTGTTAGCAGATGTACTTAGGAGACGCTTAGAGAAATCCTGCCTGCTGAAACTCATGGAAACAATGAAGAGTCCTTTAGTAACAGAAAATTAAATTTCACCAGGAACCCTGAGGTTTGAGTAAAGGAATTAAATAAATTATATATATAGCTCATACACCTCTGACCCTGGAAACATCCCACTCTTTTCTGAGGTGCTAGCCAGCTCAAATTCATCATGGCAGTTTGTTGCCTCATAAGTTTCAGTGTCAGTACATGTGGAAACTGCTCTTGATGCCAATATAATTTTTTTTAGTAGCAGCTGCATAGTGCTGTTTTACATATGACGTAACCATTTGTTTTTATCTTGCTCCCAAGACAGTCCCTGTCCCACTCAGTCTGCTAGTCACAAATGGGGTAGGAAATTGGATCTGTGGGTTTGTTGTGGGAAGTCTTTTCTAAACTCCTGAACTACCCAAAACATCCTCTTTTGGAGGACAGGTTAACTATGTTTAATTCAATCTCCTCCTCTGCTATTGCAAATTCACAAGGTTTTCCCATGAGGAAGACTTTCCACTGGCAAGATCTGCAGCCGAGTGCCTAACAAGAGGCTGCCCGGCCAGCTCATCATGACACGTCTCTGGTGCCCAGCATCTAGGAAGGAGTGATGAGCTGCACTGGGGCTGAAAGAGAAGTCTTTTGTCCCATGGCAGGGGATAAATCACTTGACAACAGAGATGGAAAGAACCAGGGCAGAGACATGGAGGAGAAAGTTGTGAAGTAGGGAGCTAATGAGATCGGAGGGAGGAGGGAGGTATAGGCAGAGATGCATAAGAAGGGCAGAAAAAAGCTGTAGTAAAGGTGTGGGACAGAGGAAGGGGAAAAATTAAGTAGTAATGGGTATCAGAGTAGCATAAGAGATGGTTAATATCTGTATTTTAATCCCCTTCATGCCAGCTTGCAATTCATGCAGTCTGTATTTCCTTATTTTCATAAAGTGGGGCATAAATTGTACACCTTGATGCAGCATTCTCAGCAAGAGAGCCCCAACCTGATAAAGTATTTGTAACAGTTGTAAAAAAAGGGAAGGGGAGAGAGGAGAAAGGGTGAAAAAAAATGCAAACACATCTTCTACAGTTTCTCAAACCACACTCTGGTGGCAGTGCTAGCTAAAACAACCATGATGCCTCCTGCTTCTGCCCCTCGCAGTCACTCACACAGCTGTGCAGCAGATCAGATCATGGCACCAGTCTGGTGGGGAATCCCGGCCACATTCACTCCCGGAATTAGTTCATCATGTGTCTGTCCAAGTGCTGGTGACAGCACAACACAAGAGACAGAAACAAGGGGAAAAGACAGGGAAGGGAAAGGGCAAGGAGCTGAAGAGGGTGCAAGACCCACGCCACCTCACTCAAGTAGCATCACCACCAAATGTTCAACACTATCCTAATGTCGTATCTTTTGAGTTGGCTTACTTGGAAGTAACTGAGAAACTAAACTCTAATTAAGACAAGAGTTGCAGAATAAAGATTTAAGACTGAGATTGTGGTCCAAAATCTCTATTTAGTTCTCCAGAATATTATTACAATTGAGTTCAGTTGCGAGAAATTTAATTTGGCTGATGAGAAAGAAAAGGGAGTTGTCCTAAGACTAAAATAAACTTGTTTAAAAATTTCAAGAATATTTTTTTTGTACTATACTGTGGCTTAAATCATATGTAGTTGGCACACACTTTTAAAACCTGTTTTTAAGCATTACATGACAGTGTGCAATGAAGTGAAAATTATGTGTTGTTTATATTTACACGCAGAGTAGGTGTTTTTGGCTGACAAGAAATATATATTACCATGTCTTGCCGTTGCAGGGAGAGGACCTCACACCTAAATTACTCTGTTTTTAACTGAAGTACAGGCACAGAAAGTTTTAGTTAAATGTAATTTCTTTTTGTTCATTAGCTCATCCAGAAATGAACTAACAGCAACAGAACAGTAAGGCAAAATATTCCTTCTCACTTTGGACCAAACGAGTTTGATGCTGCTTCTGTGTATCACTTAGAAAGGTGATGGAACGCGGTATTTGCACAACTTAATATTTGCTCTTACTGATTTTTTTTGCAAGGCCCCAGTTCTCTCATCATCCTAAATCTGAACCCTGTCTCGTTCTCCTCCCTCTCTCAGAATGATCTCCAGATGTGCTCCAGAGGACTGCAAGGACAGAAATACAAAAGCTAATCCTACGGCAGTCTCTCAAAGGAAAAACTTTTTTTCCTCCTGAATTATGGGCTACATTTCAGAGTATTGCACTGGAGAACTACAAACAAATAGCACATTCTCTGCTTCCCAAGCTTTACTGCGCACAGTTTTCCATTTATACCATAACTAATTAAAATCAGTCTTCAAATCAACAACAGATGCTTTGGTGTCATGCAATAGCAAGTGCCTGAGTGGCAAGTCACAAAAAAACGGATAGTTTTGTGCAAAAGTTGCTTGCAAGCTCGCAGGTATTACAAAGGTAATGCACGAAGGAGAAGATGAGACACTACCCAGGTGGAATCAGCTGTAACAAGCCACATAGTAGAGAAGAAACAGTTTCTGTGTACTAAGGAAAAATCAAGGCAGGGATGTTAAAGTCTGATGACATATGATCCTGGATATCAAACAAGAAAAAAACATACTTGAAAGACTGCTTCTAGCCTTTGCTCTAGTGCATGGTTTTATAGCCCACACTTCATTAGCAAGAACTACTGATCTCCCTGAGCTCCTTAAAACACCTGCAACAGGGCCTTTTGAACAGGACAGCCTCTGATCCTGTGCCCCTGGCATGCTAACAGCCCCAAATGCTCTACGTTCACATCGACACTAACAGGAGAGACCTCCAAACAGGTAGGAGGTGCTACCTCTGTAGCACCTACAGAGAATTTGGAGGGAAAAAAGTTGCTAAAGTCAGGTTAGCCTGAGGTGGACTGTGACTGGCTAGTGACAGACACCCATTGCTGGGTACTTTTTCTGCAGAAAGCAGGGCGCGAATACATTCCTAACACAAGCTACACATGTCTGAGTCAGCTTAAGGTCACCAAAGCCACTTTAATTCTGCCCTGAATATCCTAGGGACTATGGCTAAGGTACTTGTAACAATATTTTAAAGTAATCTTAAAATGTATATCCAAGTATTTATTTCATAGTGGTATTACGAGATCCAACTGGATGGGAAAGACAGTTAACTTATCCAATAGCACAGTATATTTTTTTTTTCTTCTAGGGCACCAGGACCTTTTTTGCCTTTTATTTTATAAGTTTTCTAGCACCATAGTTCAAAAGAGGATATTAATGCACCAATAATGTTGCCTCTACTTCTAGCTATGATAGATGAAGTTGTATTTCATCTGGGAATTTGCATTACTTGCTGAGATTTGCATCACTTGCTGGGAGAGTTATCATTAACAATTTTTTCCACAAGCACTAAATTAAAAGAGCCCAAAAGTATCTCTGGTGCCACTTAACATTTCTAAAAGTCTGAACATGTGTTACCAAGGTTGCAGCTCTTTTGTCTGAAATTTTAACACCAGATTTACTAGTAGGCCTTGGATGTTTCACATGCCTATGGAACAGCAGGATTTATGTTTGGCTTGCCTCAGCAGAGCAGTGTGAAACAGCTGGAGTTTATGCTCCCAGATTATTTTGTAAATTTTCCATCCTCAAGTTCCCTCTTTTCTTTTGTAATTTCTCTGTGCTTCGTTATCTGCCTTTATGTTGTCCTGACTCTGCTGTTTACATCCTAGCTATGTTTACCATATGTGTTGAATTTCTGTAGTGTGAAATAAAGTTCTGAACAAGAATAATGGCCATTTTGGGAGGCCTTCAAATACCTGAAAATAGATCTGATTGCTGAGACGGACATATAAAATGTTCCTAATCACTGAAATCCACCTTGGACTCCTGTGCCTGTATGGCACGACCTCCAATCCCCAAAATAATGAAAACAAGCTACTGGGTTAACCCAATAGGCAATCTGGTCATGGAAGCTAATCTTCCCATTCTTCGAAAACAGGGGTCCCCTCCTTTCAGGGGCAAAACAAAGACTTTTTAAACTGGGGGAAAAAAGAGAGAGGAATATGCAGGGATACTCATCTGGGTGTGGGAAGAGAAGGTGCATGTACCTGTCCCATTATTTCTGAAAAGCAGAATCCCTGGGGTTGAGACTCAAAACAGCCAAGCACATAATGACTATAGAAGGTGCTTGAGATACAAGAAAATAAGTTTATGCCTTCATTTAAATTCGATTTGATTTTCTTTTACTTGAAATAAATCCCCTAACTATTGGATTAATATCTATGGTAGAGTGCTTAGCTCCATCTCCCTCCTTTTACCCAAAGACCACCATTCTCCAAAAGGCAAAGCCTCTTGTGAAAGCCTGGGCTAAGATGAACTCTTGTATTCAGACTCAACTGCTTTCTCCAGAAACTCCTACTGAGCACAAGAAGGTTACTGCAAGGAGGAGGTCCTGGAGGAAGTGACAATACCTTTAAGTGTGGCAGAAGGAATTCCTGATCTCACCAATAATGGTAGCAAACGGTGACCTTGTTGAAAAAGGCTATTAACAACGGACAGTCTGTGGTGCTACTGTCCCTCCAGAGGAAACCAGTGGATGCTACTCTTGGGAGAAAGGCCAGCAGTGGGAATTTTTTGAAAGATAATACATATTAACTACTGTTTAAGAATAAGCAATCAAATGATTCACAGTGGTACAGTCCAATGGATTGTTTTTCTCCCCACGATACAGGCTATGTATAACATTTTGGTGAATTAATGATATGGGAAATCTGAAAGGTCTGAATTTCGTTGCTAGGACTATATTAATCATATTTATTTTTTCCTAAATATTTTAAAGAAATTATTTTAAAATTATTTTAAATCCAGCTGAAAAACAGGTTAATTTGAAAATTCTCAAAAAATTCCTTCTGATCTCAAAAGGTAAGTGCTGCAATTTTGAGCACACATTGTGTTTTTAAGTACATAAGAAAGAAGCTATATCTATATTATAGCTACGCACTATAATTTTAGGAAAGATGGACTATGGTCTTCATGTGTAACAGATTTTTCTGAAAACTCTAGAAACTCAAAATAAAATTTCTTTTTTTTTAGATACGATATTTTAGGCAGTAGCCATACTCTGTTTCCAAAACATCTAGAACATAACTGAGAGCCTATTTCACAGTGGCTGAAGTCTTAAGGGACTGATGTTCCTAAGTCATTTAGGATCTTTTAAGAGCTACACTGCCACACGTGGCATTCCCACATTTGGATGTAACACCTACTGTGAAGGCATTTTGCTTTTTGCAGTTGTTGGCTCGGTACTTACATTGGTGACCACTGCCAGAATGGCTATGCCTTGCATGATGGGCTGCCAGGCGCCGATGTCTTGTGCCTTCTGTGGAACCATGCGCCTGAACTGGGTCGTCAGCTTCCATGCATCCAACCGGATTTCCAACATGTTGTTAATAAGAGCCAGAAGAGGAGCCAGGGGGAATGATGCCACAAACAGAGTGACAAAGCCAAACTGTATAACTGTCAAAAGGAGAGGTTACATACACGGATGAGGCTTTCAATTACCAGAGATAAGCATATATGAGCACATACATTCTTACGTCCCCATCATAAAGACTTGGAAACCCAATGACTCTCTGTCTCAGTGCTGTGCTGGGAAGCCTGAACTAATGGTCATCTTATTGCTGTCCGGGTGCTACGATGAGTATGCTGGCAATGCTGTGACAGAATGGATGGTGACAACAAACCGGAGAACTGCCAGCTCCCAAGGGACCAGCAACAAGTCCTGATGACTGCAGATCCCCAGCAGAACAGTGTGACACAGGGCTCTGCTGCCCAACACAACAGAACATGGCAGCGGTCTGCCTTCTGGATGCATTTCTGAGGATGGGGTACTCAGAATCAGCAGTACTCCTCCTCTGACAATCATGTGTTGTTTCCTAGCTATAAATTGGAAACTTGTCTTGGAAGAATATTCATGTCCTCTGTCTATACACTTGTTATGCATTGCTTGTATGAAGATTTTCTTAAGAGCATGTAACAAATTGTAACTAAACTGCCACTTACCCATTTCAAGATACTCATAAAACAGTCCAAGTTTTCCAATGGGCTGCAGGTGATAGTCCTGTTCCCAGCGTGGAACAACCTTTTCTGATCTAGCAGCTGCAAAGTATCTTCCAATTAGATTCTTAACCCAACTATCAGCCAGGGAGAGAAAGACCACTAACGTTGGTAAAATAAGCTAAAAAAGTTCAGTAAATGGAAAAAAAATGACATTTGTGCTGTTACAGCTTTGAATAGTGGATCTAGTTATTCTTGAATTACTGAAAACTTTCTTTAAACATGAGTATAATCTTCTGTTGCCTTATCCTGAAAGCAGTTATTTACAACTATAACTGAGAGTGTAAAAGAGCAATATATCAGAATCATAGTGATTTGTACTTATGTTGTACAGGTGAATGACCACATAAAATTCAAGGTAACAAAAAATCAAGTTAAATGTATGTTGGTGGTTAAACAGATTAATTCCTTCTGATCACACACAAAACAAAATCATAGAATAGTTGAGGTTGGAAGGCACCTCTGGAGGTCATCTCATTCACCCTCTTCTTGCACAGTCAGGGTCACCCAAAGCCAGTTGCCCAGAATCATGTCCATATGGCTTTTGAATGTCTCCAAGGATGGAGACTCCACAACCTCCCTGGGCAACCTGTGCCAGTGCTTGGTCACTCTCACAGAGTGTTTTCTGATGAGACACCCTCCTGTCTTTCAGGTTGTGTCCATTACCTCTGGTCCTGTCACTATGTTTTAGTCACTGAGATTAGTCTGGCTCCCTTTTCTTTACTCTTGCCCTTCAGGTATTTGTACACATTGATGAGATCCCACTGAGCCTTCTCTTCTCCAGGCTAAACAGTCCCAGGTCTCTCAGCCTTTCCTTACATCAGAGATGTTTCAGTCCCTTAATCACTTTAGTGGCTCCTCACTGGAACCTCTCCAGTACCTCCATGTCTTTCTTGTACTGGGGAGCCCAGAACTGGACACAGTACTCCAGGTATGGCCTCATTAGTG